GCGTTGACAGCAGTGTCATGATCAAAATGGGCGTCAGTTTGAGAAATTTCAGTGAAAAATTGTACTTTTAAATATCTGTACATTTATTTAATAATAAAATTATGATAAACACCAATTTTATAAATAGGTAAAATGTGTATACATTTTTGGGACACCCTATCTATTAGTTGGCCTTCTACGACTGCAGCCAGCATTACCATTGAATGCTTGGACGATGATGGTGGTATTTGAAATGAAAAATACGTGGGTCGGAAATTTCATTATTTATAAACAACAGCTGCTTCTCCCAGAAAAAAAAACCCAAAAAAATGACATGCTGAGTAACCTGGAAATCTTCGCGCAGGGGACTTGAATCAGATAGAAAAAACATGACTTTCCTCAACAAGAAGCGCGTACGCCACAATGCAGTTGCATTTTGCATTTCACTGCAAATAGCGTTTCGCCGAGAAGAATGATCGGCGGACCATTCTCCTGCAGTTGTCTTGTAACTTAATCTAGAGCTCTCGCAAGCGGTCACCAGGTTATTATGCTGAAAAAGATAAAGCAGAAGAAATTGTTGGTTCATCAGTTATGACCTTTGTTAAATTTTTTGCCTTGCTAACGCCAAACATCGTAGACAATTCATGTGTACCTTTAGTCTGGTCAATGCCATTTGTGCGATATGTGGTCTAGCGGTGTCATGTAATAGAACAGAATTCGAGCGGCTATCGTATTGGATCCACTTCTAATCACACGGCACAATTCGATGCAAAAACGCATCAGATTTTTTACGAGGACCAAGCGTCATGTACGTGTTAAAACTTTGTTGTTTCTGCTTTTCATTCAGTTCAGATGACAGCCACATTTAAAATTTATTTTCGATTTATCGACTTCTAGTACTTGAATTGAGATTATTTGCTTTTAATTTAAGAACTAGGATTACAACATTGTTTATTTGAGTCGTCTATCTACATTTGTCTTGCCTTTTGTTTTTCCGTTTTCATTTGCTAATTCAAAGTAAGTGAGCGCTAACCAAGTACGCCTGCCAAAGGTCTGAACATCTCATCGCCAATAGAAGTGGCAAAAACCATCAAGTAGAGGAAGTTACATGTTGATTAACCTTTCTTTATCGTAGGTCACTGATAATACATATATTTCGTCGTTTAACAATCTCAAATAAATGGTTATGCTAGAAACCCTATAACACGAACTTTATCATGACTGTCTGTGAAAGTGTTCGATCGTGTGATGGACCCGAATTCAAATTTGAACGTAGTTGAAGATGCATCGGCAGGAGATTAGAATATATCTTTCCTAAAAGCGCCAAATATCCCGAAAGTGTCTACTGTAATGAGCGCGCCCACTACACTTACATCAAGCATCAGCGATAATGTTGGGCT